ATCTCGCCGCTGATCGCGCAGGATGCCGACTCGCTCACTGTCGATCCTCGCCGGCCCAGCGTCGCAACGACGGCGCAAGAGGGCGACGAGACTGCCACGTATGGCGCACGCTCGACGCAGGGTCACTCCACGGAGCGGGCCAGCTCGACGAGCGAGTCCGGCGATGACTGGAGCCAGGATGGCAGCGCACGCGGCGGCACGGATGCCGGCGAGCGCACAGGCACGCAGCGCTTCTCCGACCGCTTCTCGCAGAATCTGGGCCACCCAGGCCTGCACACGCCGACGTTCCTGTACGACACGCACCTCGAAGACGCCTCGCGCCCGACGAGCCACACGCCCAGCTCGCGCCACGACTCGCTCGCTCCGCCGGCGCGCCGCGGCTCATCTGCGCGGGCGCTCTCGAACCTTAGCTCACTGGACGAAGCGCACCGTGATGCCTGGCCGAACTCTGCAGACCCGGCTCTGACGCACAGCGAGCCGCGTTCCGACGACAACGCGCCAGCGCAGATCGCGGCGCCTCTGCAAGTCAGGGAAGCCTCCCACAGCGAGTCTGTCGACGCCCTGGGCGTGTCTGGCCTAGGCCCGGCGCCGACGTCGCGTATCGAGCAGCCTGGCCTCACGGTGGACGACCACAGCGCCGACGAGATGGAACGCCCTCAGCTGCCTGCGTCGATGTCGCACTACGCGCTCGACGGCGACGACTCGGCCTCCTCCAACGGCGACGAGGGCAGCTTCGACGGCCGCCTCGACGAGCTTTTGAACAACGTGCAGGACTTCTCGGCACTGCCCTCCTCGTCTGGCGTGCTGCCTTCGCGCTCGCCCGACGCCAGCGCTCTGCCTTCCTCGAATGACTACGCGCTGTCGAGCCCCAAGCTGCGCACGATGCAAGTCTCGACCGAGGCGGCTGTGCGCCAGGCCCTCGGTGCGTGGGACGCCGAGCGTCCCGCGTCGCTGTCGTCTGGCTTGCCGAGCGCTCCCAGCACACCGGGAGCGCACGCCTTCTCCGGCTCGCCTGGTGCGCGCAGCGGTGGCCGCCGTGTCTCCGCCAGCTCGACGCACTCGCATCGCAGCGGCAGCCCGCGTCCTCTGCGCCGCTCGCCGGGCGGCAGCGAGCGTGGCAGCGGCGCCCACTCGCCGCCGCTGCGCTCGGCGCAGAGCCCCAACGGGCGCTTCGGTGCACTGCCGCCGAGCCCCAGCATCCTGCCGCAGTTTGCGCACGGCGGCGCCAACTCGCCGAGCTCGAGCCCGCTCGCGACGTCGTTTGCGGGCAGCGGCTCGTTCGAGCGGGTGCATGGCTCGGGGCCCAACAGCCCCGTCGCGGCGCGCACGCCGCCGATGCCGCACGGCGCCCAGATACTGCACCACCAGCAGGCCGCATCGCCGGCGTTCCCGCACTCGAGTGCTGCGCACTACAACGACCTCTCTGACTATGCATAGCCATGGCCCCCGCACTCGCACCCCATGCACCCCCTGTCCGCATTCTCTGTCCCCTTCCCCTCCTCACAGCACACCTTCCTCACGTCTCGGCGTGATTCCCAGCAGACACCTCACCACACAATGCTCCGATAGAACCCTCATACATCCGTCTCGCGCCGTCCGTCGCGCATGCAACGAAGCCAACGTTGAAGCCACGCATGCATTGGCCGTGACGTCGATCTGCGGATGCAAGCGAGGTGCTGATCGACCTGCTGAGCGGATGTGCGCGCGTCGCGTGGAGGCTTGCTCGCGCATGTCTCACCTGCCTGCACGTCGAAGCCACATGCTCACCACGTGCCTGAACGGGGCGCTTCTGTTCCAGATTGGCGGACTCAGGTGCTTCTTCGCTGCATGTCGATCACACCGAAGATCTGCGACTTCTCCGCAGCCGCAGGGCACATGGCGGCGAGGCATCCATGTGGGCGAAGGCGCGCGCGCGCGCGATGTGACGTCCGTCCACGCTTCGCCTCTCCACGCCAGCGCGCTGTTTGGTCTCACATCCAGCACGAGGTACATTCGTCCGGCTGCCGCACATACATGGAGAACATTCGCAGAGGACCGTCCCTGGCCACCGGTAGCAGGTGTCGCAGAGATGGGCAAACGTCTTTGTCTCTCCCCCTGCTCACTGACGCACGCACCGTAAGCCACCGAAGTGCCAGTTCCGTGGCTACGGCGCTTCAAGCGTCAACGGAAGCCTGCGAAGACCTTTTCAGCGGTCATGCGCTCGGGAGCAAGGCCCGGAGGGGAGACGAAGGCTGCTCGGAGGCTCCTCAAGGCCCCCGCGACGGGTGCCGGTCTTCGTGGCTGCCCGCCCACCCGTTGGACCTCTGAGGGGCGGGCCTTTCGAGGCGGCCTGTCAGACACGTGCTCGAGGAGTACGAGCACGCACAGGCACGACTCGACAAGCTCTGCCTGCGGCTGGTGCTGCGACGACGGAGGCGCTTCTTTGGCACTATCCGCGTGGGTGAAGAAGGTCAGACTGAGGCGGCACGTCGATTGGGCGTGCTTGTGCCAGGTTCCGCGGGCCCTGCAGACTGGAACAATGGAGAAAGCCTTCCTCGTGCGAGGATCACCCGTCAGGGGTGTGGCGGAGGTGTCAGACGAGGAAGGAAGACGAGTGGGCCCGCTTGCGCCACGCCATGCTCGCCTCTCCCGTGGAGGTAGAAGCTTGACCGTCCTGCGCCTACTCTGTTGGTCGGCGTCTCATGCATCGGGTTGCCAAAGAGCTCAGAGAGGCCTGCTGGTGCTCACATTCCGGCGCTTGCTCTTCCTTCTATCAACGCTCCCTCCGCCGAGGTCCGGCGCAGTGGACCGCCGGTCCGCGCGCACGAGTGGGCAACGCTCGGCGGCATACGCAGCGCGTGCAGCAAGACACATTGCGTGTGATAGCAAGCCGGAGCGAGCTGTGAGGCTGAGCGGCCTCCGCACGCAACAGCCGGCAGATTCCAGCCTCTGCCTCTGCATGGGCCTGCGAGGGCGACATGTCACCACCGCAGCGACGCCGTGCGATGCTGCGCGGTGCGCGCCTGCAGCATGCGCGATGCATAGCGCCGCGACCCGCCCACCGGCGCACGCCCAAACACTCCGTCTCCGAGCGAGCGGCGGGAGGAAAGGAGGGGGCACAGCGGCTCCGGCCACCCGTCTCCAAACTAGCCTGGCCCAACGACGGCAGCACGAGGGGCTCGGCGCTTTTCGTCGAGCGCGGCTTGCTGCACAGCGCATGAAGTGCAGGAGCGCACGCGCCGCTCGGGCCTCTCCTCTCTGGGATGAGCGCATGCCAGCCACAGCAGCGCCGTCTGGCGCGTTGGGCCGTGCGTGGCCGGAGTGACGGAGCAGGTGCTGAGTCGCTGGAGGCCCTATGCTAATCGCTGGGGATGGAGCGCGCGAAGAGCGCCGACGACGAGGACAAGGACAAGGCCGCGGATCCACGGCTGCCTGCAGGCGCCACGCTGCACGCGCGCAGCTGCGGCGCGGTGAGACGAGACAGCACGCCCAGCAGCGGCCGAGGCAGCAGCCGCGCGGAACCCCTCGCCTTCATCGCTTGACAGCCGGCATGCAGCACTTTGCCTGCGCAGCGGGACAAGAGAGAGAGGGGCCGGCAACGCAGTTGCACGGCCGCAGCGCGCGAGGCGTGTTGATGCGGATGATGCCCGCGCAGGACTTATGCGCCAGCCGGCTTCGCGACAGAGACGCGGGCACCGCATGGCCGCAGCTGCGGCGAGCACACCTCGTCTCCTCCTGCGGACGCACTCTGGCCATGTGGGGTGCTTCGGCGGCGGGCGGAGTGCTCGTGCGAGCGAGGTGCGGCACGCCTCGATGGAGGAGCCGCGAGAGGGGCATGCAGCACACAGCAGCAGGCGTGGCACGCGCCGCCGTCCCACCGGCAGCCGCAGCCGCAGCGGCACAGCGCCAGCATCCGCTCTTCTGGGCGTGCGGCCGTCGGCATGTGATGGCAACAAGGTGAAGGCTCGGCGGCGCATGAGCGCAGTCCCAACACGCGTGCCGCCGGCGTCAGGGTGCAGCGCGCAGCCAGAGCGCGCCGCGACGCCACGATGGCAGAGGCGCAGAGAGCGGCAGCACTTGCGCCCTCTCGTGCCCCTCTCTCTCGCGCCGGAGAGCAAGGCGTGACACACGGCCGCGTCCCGTGGCGCTGGGCGGTAGCGCCGTGCGGTGCCGCCGCTCCGACGCACCACATGCTGAGCGGAAGCGAGCTCCGCGGCAGCCATCTGTGAAGCGGCAGAGCAGCGTCAGCGAAGGCGCCGAGGCAGCGGCAGCTGCAGGCGCGGCGCCGCTCCGACGCGTCTCCGCCGACGCTGCGCTTCGTGGTGGAGCAGCGCAGCGTGCAGCAGGTGATGGGCTCGCCGCGCTCTGCTGCTCCCTTGTTCCCCTCCTCGCCCTCCGTCTCGCCCGCAGCGCTCCCCGCACAGCACCGCCGTCGCCGCACCTGCTCGTCCGTCTCACGCTCTCGCTCACCGTCACCACCACCTTCACCACCACCACCTTCACCACCACCACCTTCACCACCACCATCCTCGCTGCGACACCTCCTCCTCTGCACGCGCTTCTCACCTCTCCCGCGCGCATTCTCCGCCTCGCGCCTCTCCCTCACCGCGCGCCCTCCGACGCAGCTCGGGCCGCGTCTGTGATCTGCACCTCATCAGCAGCCAAGCGCCGGAAGCATCGTCCCGCCCGTGCCTCTCGCTGCGCTGCTGCGGCCCACGTGTGCGGCTCGCGCTCGCCTCGCCCCGTCCTGCGTTCCTGCACGCTCGCTCGGGCCCCTGCGCGAGATTGATTGCCAGTCTGGTGCGCTGCGCCGTCTGCGCTGCTGCCGCTGAGTGCACACTCGCCTGCGGCCCGAGCGCAGCCACCGCCGCTGCCTCGTCTCGGAGCGAGTGCCGCTGTCGGCCCCGTCTTTCGGCCCGCCAATCTCATTGCCCGGCCCCACTGGCACGCGGCGCGGGCCCCTCTGGCTCTCTGCCTTATAGGCTGCCATCGGCTGAGAGGCTGGCCCCTCTGCCACGCCCGTCTCCTTCATCTCCTCGCCTCCTTCCGTCCCTTCGGCGCTTCCAGCCTCTTCTGCCGAGCCACTATTCTGGCTGCCGTGTCTCTGCTGGCCGTCCTCTCCCGCTTCCTCTCCCTCACCTCTGCGACGCCCAACATCCACCTCATGCGCCCGAGCTAGCTGCAACGCGCTAGTCACTCGCCTCTCTTCCACCTGTTTGCGCTCCACGTGCCTCCGTCCGCCCTCGCCTACTGATGGCTGGTCCTCTGCCGATGCTCCCGGCGCTCGAAGGCGACCTCCAGGTGTGGGAGGTGGCCTTTGGCTCGCAGGAATCGCTCGTGCAGGCGCCCTCCGGCAGTCCGCGCGGCGAGTGGCGCCAGCGATGGTGCTCGCTCGGCGAAGGCATAATCAGTGTGCACGTCAGCCAGTGAGTACTGCTTCGGTGCCCCGTCTCCATGCTTCAGCTCTGACCATCGCCTGCCAGACATGCGGCCTTTGCCCAGTCCGAGAACAGCCTCCGGTCGGTGACTCTGGCGCACTGCCGCAAGGTCAGCTCGTCTGGCACGAGTAGTGGTCCATGGGAGATCACCATCTGGAAGCACTCCAGCTCGGCCAGCACAGCGACGCCCACCCGCTCGGCCTCGCCGATGCTGCACCGCGGCCTGCCGCGCTCGGCCACGAGCAGCAGTCTGAGCAGTGCATTCGAGCGTGGCGCCGCAAGCTTCCGCGGCGGCAGCGCATCGCGCAAAGGCGAGAGCGAATCGTCTGCGAGCGCCTATGCGACGGTCGCAGGCAACTCCACGCGCGGCCAGCGACCGGCGCTGTACAACGCCTCGACGCTGAGCTCGATGGACGAGGCAACCGACGGCGAGGGCACCAAGCAGCGCAGCAACAACGGCACGTGGGGCAAGCTCAGCTCTCGCTCCAAGCGTCTCTACCGCCTTGTCTCGGGCAACAGCACTTCTTCGCTCGCCGAGCTTGCCAACGCAAGGTCCTCGTCGCCGTCGCCGGCGCCGTGCTCTCCGCTGGAGGAGGCATGCGCCTCTTCGGATGCCGTCGTCCTGCGCACAAACAGCCGTGCGCAGCATGCTCAGTGGCTCGAGGCCATCTCGACGTCGATGCGCTCAGCCGGCACCACTGCGCCGTCTCCGTCGCAGCCAAGCACGTCCAGCCGGCCTCGTCCGGCTCTGCCCTCGTTCGCGTCAGACGCACGCTCCGGCGAGAGCTCCGTCGTCTCGCTCATGGCGCCGGCCAAGCTCGCCAAGCGGCCCGTCAAGATCGGCCACAGCGCTAGCAACTCGAACTTGGTGCGCGCCAGCGAGGCTCCGGCCGAGTCGTCGCCGCGCACGAGCATGGACTGCGGCCGCAGCAGCATCAGCTCGCGCAGCGAGGCCAGCAGCGTGTTGTCTGCCCGGCGACCCAGCACCTCGAACGGCGCGCTGTCTCTCGGCACGTCGCGCACCAGCTCGTCATCCACGCGCCGCTCGAGCGCTGCCACGTCCCTGGTCAGCCCGGCACTGTCTGCGGGCCATTCGATGACCAAGGGCGCCTCGACGTGGTCCGGTCGATCGGTCTCATCGCCGCGTCCGTCGCCCGCACTGTCCAGCGACGGCCCGGACATGTCGCCCATTCTGTCTTGCGCGCCGCGTGCTGGCACACGTGAGCCGCGACTCTCTCCCTCCGTCGAGAGCCTGCGCTTCGGTTCCCGTCTCGTCTCCGTCGTGGCGAGCGAGGACGCACAGGCCAGCCGCTTCGCCATGCTCCGCAAGGCTTCGGCGTCGTCAATGAGTGGCCACCAGTTCAGCGGCGCTTGCCAGGGCCTGGGTCTCGACCTGGGCGCCGCAACGCCCGTGCCCGAGCTGCCGACATCGCTCGTCAAGGAGAGTCTGCAAGCGTGCACGCCGCGCCTCCGCCTCTCGACCATGGACGGCGACGTCCAGACGACCGAGTCGATCGACTCCGTCGCCACGGTGCTGCCTTCGCCGCGTCTGCGCACCACTAGCCGGTCTCCGTCGCTCTTCTCCTTCGCGCAGACTCGCGGCGAGAGCACCGTCCAAGCGGACGTGCCTCAGCCGCGGCCGCGCACCCGCGTCGACTCGATGCCTTCTCCCGTGCTGTGCTCCTCTGCTTCGCTCGCCTCGCTCGCAACCGACGACATGAGCGCCACGCCCACGGGTGCCTCTCGCAAGGCCGGCTTGCCTCGCTTGCCAGGCCCCAGCAGTCGCCTGGCCGCGGCTGCGCGACGGCGCCTGGCCTCGCCGCTCACGACGCAGCGCCACGTCTCGGATGCCTCTCCGAGCTACTCCGAGAGCGCATCGTCAGCTGACCCCACGACGCCAATGTCGCCGCTCTTTGCTCGTGGCTCCGAGTCTGTCAGCCTGGTCGGCGACGACGAGAGCATGACTTGCGCGCCGACGCCAATCGGGGCCCCGCCACCGGTCATCGTCGAGCGCATTCTGCCGCCGACCGAGCTCATCGCCACGTTCGACCGGCTCCGCAACGAGCAGCAAGTCAAGGCGGCGCGTCGCACGGTCCGTCCGCGCACCAGTCCCTCGCTGCCGCAAGGCGAGGCCGCGCCGGGTCGCTTCCCTCTCTCAGTCTCGGCCGACGAGACGGCCGCCCGGCGTGCGTCTCCTCGCCGTCCCCGTACGCCGCGCTCGACTGCGCTGCAGCTCGTCGGCGACAGCACGCCGCGAGACGCCTCGCGCCCTTCGCTGCCTGCCGAGCCTGCGCTGCGCGGCGCGCTCAAGTCGATCGACGACAACAACGCGCAGCTGCACAAGCACTCGCTGCCCGCGCCGCCGCGTGTGGCCAAGCGTCCCAGTACATCGGCTCTGAGCCAGACCGGCAGTGCGGCAGACTTGACCGCCCAGCCCGACGCCACGCAAGGCCACTCGGCGTTCAGCCTGCTGCAAGCCGACCCGCGCCCTGCTGGCGCACGCGCTCGCGGCAACACCTTCTCGAGGCCGCAGCAGCTGTCTCCGATCGCCTCGCCCGCCGCCTCGCCGGCTCAGACAACGCCGCGCAAGGCCTCGGCGCAGAAGCAGGCGCACGCCTCGCCGGCGCCTCACACTGCGGCCAGCTCGGAGGCGCTGCAGTGGGCCACGCGCGAGGTGCGCCCGGCCATCGCATACTGAGAGCATGGCTCCTGCCTCGCCTGCACCTAGCCTTTTTCGTCACTCGCTCTCCGCATCTCTTTTCGTCTCACTCGATCGTCACCCTGGGCAGGCCCGCGTTACCACATAATCACCCGTCGGCGCTCCCATGCAGCTCTCTCGCACATTACCCCCTTACGCCTCTTGTTACTTTACCTAGCCTCACACTGAGTCTGCGCCTGCTGCCACTTGCCCCCTGCGATCGACTTTTCTCTACTCTGCTCCGCCCGCTCGCCTGTAATCGCGTCACTTGCAATCTTCACCCGCACTGCCACCTCCTGTTTGCGTGATCTGCGGCGTTCGTGCGCGGCGGTGACGAGCGGACCGACGGAGCTCGCTCAGCCACCATCTCGGCTTGATGAGGCCGCAGCTGAGAAGCCATGCGAGCGGAGCTTGACATCGGCGCACGCCCCCCTGACACGCCCACGTCGGCTCTTGCCCGCCGTTCCCGCAGCGAGCCGTGCTCAGGCAGGGACAGTCTGCAGTAGAGTTCTTTCGTCCTCGAGCACAGACCTCGGCGGACATGCGATCAGGCACGTGGCTTCTGGCGCTCCCTGTGCTTGCCTCCTGCGTCGATCTCCAGCACGCGACGTCGAGCCGCTCGAGCGTGCGCGGATGCGTGCCCAGCGCAACGGTCCGCTCCCGCTCAGAGACGCGGGCTGCAGCAGCAGCAGGAGTTCGGCCGTTCAAGCGATGCTTCCTTCCTCTCCTGCACGCTGCTCGAGAGGCCTGTCTGGCGAGCTCGTCCAGACACGAGACACAAGCGCAAACTCATGGCGTCTCCAAGCATGCTCGTGGGTGAAAGGGAGGCGCAGCAAGCGGAGCTGCAGCAGATGCCTAGGGCGCGGCGGCGCGGAGCATGCGGCCGTCGGCTCGGAAAGGAGGATGCGCCGGCCAAGAGGCTCCTGTCGCTGCTGTCTCTCAGCAGCCTGAACAGCCCTGGAGCATGAAGCATCGTCTCGCGGATGGCTCTGTGTGCAAAGCTTCAGGAGCCCCCTCCGTGCGAGCGAGTCTCGGGCTCGGCGCGATCTCGCAACGTGTGTTGTTCGCGGCGCCGCTCGCGCTGCGTGTCGGAGCCAACGGCCCCGGCGTCGGTGCGGCGAGCGTCCACATGGGCAGCGGGCGCATGCATCGGCACAGCGAGACTTGGCAGCGCTGCTCGTGGTCTGCGATGCTCAGGACAGCATGCAGAAGCTCCTGCTGCGTCTTGGTCCAGCATGCAGCGAGCAAGCATGGAGCGAGATGCCGGGCGGCGTCGCTCGTGCTGGCGCCGCTGCCAGATGACGCTACCTCGCCGCGCCGGCGAGCTCGGCGCGGCGGCTGCAGAGGCCTCTGATGCTGCGCTGCGCTGCGAGCTGATGCAGCCGCAGCGCATGCCTCGTGCTGCACCGAGCACGCTAGCTATGCTCCGAGCCAGGCGCCGCTTCGCCCGGCCCGCTCGCTCGGGCACGGCGAGGGCACCGAGAGGGTGCAGCGGCTGCGGCTGCCGCAGCGCTGGCGTCAGCAGCAGCATGCCGCAGCGTCTCCCCGCGGCGCGTGCGAGGCCGAGCAGGCGAGCTTGCGGCGCCGCCCGCCCTTCGCGCTGCAGCTGCCTGCGTCAGCACGGCCTCGCCAGCGGCTTGCATCCACCGAGCGCCGAGCGCCTTCTCACCACCATCCTCTCCCCATCATTCTTCCTCTCCCTGTGCGGCCTGTTCGCCAGCTTATCACTGCGCATCCGGCGACGGAAGGTCGAGCACGCGCCGAGAGCGCATCACCAACCCGCCATCGCATCGGCCGCATCGACCTAACTCCGCCTCTCCTGCGTCTCTTGTGCGGCATCCTCCCTCTCGCACACCCGCACCCGCCTCCGCATCCCGCATCCGAGCCCACTTCCGCTCTCGCCAAGGCCGCTCTCGCCGTCCACTTCGCTGATCCCTTCGCCAGCCCTCAGCGCTGCTGGCGAGCCGCTGACAGCGCGCGCGGCAAACAGCACAGGCCGCGCCGCCCTGCGTGCTTGGCACAGCCTCGCAACGAGTCCCACGCCCGCCAGCGCGCGCACACACTCGCCGCGTGCCTGCGAGCTGCGCCGCCGTGCGAGGTACGCCCGCGCGCACCGCCACAACACTGCGCCCGCCGCGAGCGTGCTGCTGCTCTGCTCCTCATCTGTCTCGCAGCGCCACCAACTGCAAAGGCCCGGCCTCCGAGCCACTTTGTGCCGGCCATCACACACAAAGTGCCGTCCCGGCGGCTCGCGTTGCTAGCCTGCTCGCTCGGCGAAAAGGGCAGCAGCCGCACTCGACTGCCGGTGCCCTGCCGAGGCACCCCATCCTCCCTCTCCACCCTCCCCGGCCCTCGGCGCGTGCGCCGGTGACGTGCAACGGCCGCCGCTGCACAGGCACCCGCACGCGCTAAGGCAGCCCTACCCTCGCGGCACAGCCACCGCTGCCGCTCACTCTGATTCGTGAGCTCGGACAGCGCTGCGTCTTGCCGCTCCACCACCACCCTCCTATCCGTCCCATCCACCTCCTCTCTCCCTCGCCCAGACCGGCCCAGGCCGCACACACGCGGCATGGAGCCGAGCCCGGGCCTGCCCTCCCACGAGGCCTCGCAGTATCTGCCCGGCCTGCGGCGGCTCTTCGATGAGCAGCAGCAGGCCGATGCCGCCACCAGCTCCGGCCTGCGCGCCGCCGAGCCGGCCGGCAGCAGCGACAGTCCGCCGGCGCTGCTCAGCTCGTCGGCATCCGACGTCGGCACCTTTGGCCGCAGCTCGAGCAGCATCCTCCTGCCGACCTCCTCGGCGCTCAACGTGCGCATCGAAGCACCCGTCGAGCCCAGCTCAATACAGCTCGCGCGGCCCCCCGGCGACGCCGCGCTGCCGCTCGCCACTGCGCGGCAGCTCGAGAAGCAGCGCATGGCCGACGACGACGAGGTGGAGGACATGCTCTCCGTCAGCGTCCACGACGCGCCTGCCGTGGAGCCCGTGGCGCAGGAGCGGCTGGACCCCCGCGAGCACTGGGCCGCCGGTGCCGCAGGCTCGCCACCGCGGCCAATGCGAACGGGCTCAGCGCAGCAGCAGCAGCGCGGCTCCTCCTCGCAGCCGGCGTCTTCAGATCGGCGATCGCGCGACGGCTCGCCAGAACGCAGAGGCTTTGGCGTGGGCGAGCGCGGCGGCGCCTCGGGTCAGGAGTTCAGCCCCTTGCGGCGAGTCCTGACGCCGGCGCAGGAAGAGTCACAGGCGCGCGCCCAGGAGAAGCGCCGGCAGAGCGAAGAGCTGGACCGCGAGTTTGTGCGCATGCGCGGCTCGAGCTCGAGCATCATCAGTCCGCCACTCTCGCCAACAGTTCTGGCAGCGGCGAGCGGAGCAAGCGAGCGAAGCCCATACCAGCGGCATGGTCTGCTCGGCGACAACAATCGGTCTCTGCGCGCCGCGTCGTACCCCGACGCAACGCCTGCTATGCTGGCTGCGGCCGCTGCTAGCACGTCCGCTCGGAGGATATCCGCGTCTCGGCGACCGGCCAGCCGGCCACTGTCAGTGGACCACACTGCTGCGCCCGGAAAGCGTGGACGCACATCGAGTGCACCAATCTCGCCAGCTGGCGAGACTCCGCGCCTGCTCGTCTCTTCAGCGGACAGAGAGGCAGGGGGCAGAGAAGCACCGTCGAGAGGCGCCGACAGCACGCGTCGAGCGCTATCCTTCACGCCAGGCACTCTGCCCGATGGCACCTTGGCAGGCACCGAAGTGCCGCGCCGGACGTCCTCACAGCGCGCCCACGACCGCTCAGCGGGCCACTCGCCCACCGATCGGCGGCGACACCACAGCGGCAGTCATCTTGGCGCAAGCCCCGGTACGCTCGCATCGCGCTGGAGCAGCGGCGACTGGTACGGCGTCGCGGCCGCCGACGAGTGGCCGGGCAGCAGTCGGCTGTCCGGCGAGCACGGGCGGCACTCCTTCTCAACGCTGCTGGCGAGCCAGGCACGCGCACACTCGCGCTTCCACATGACGGCGTGGGCTGCGCTGCGCCCGCGCTTCCCGGCTCAGCTGCACACGCTGCGGCCGCTGCGCTTCACCTCCATCTGGCCGCGGCTGCACCACGCCACGCTGCTGCTCTCGACGTACGCACAAGTGCCCGCGACGCTCTTCCTCGACTACAACGTGCTCTTTGTGCTCGCGTCGCTGGCGCGCTTTCCGTCAGTGCCCGGCACCGAGGCTGGCTGGTGGACTGCCGTCGCCGTGTACGGTGCCTGCGTCCTGGTCTGGCTCTTCGGCGTGCTGATGCTCTGGGACGTTCTCATAAGCTATGGACGGCGCTGGCGCAAGTGTGAGTCGACATTCGAAGTGTCTCATCACGCCGCGCACGAGTGCTGATGCCCGCTGCTCAGCACAACCCGAGATTCTTCCTATCTATCTACGCTCGGCTGCATTCTCACTCTCGACGATCAAGTCGTACTCAGTCTACTCGCTCCTCTATCGCGTGCGCATGCGCGCCACTCGTCGCGACTTCTTCATCGAGACGTGCTGGTTCCAGTCGCAGAGTGAGTCTGCCCGGCAGTGCATCGCACGACTCGCTCACCAGATGCTGCTCAGACTGGCCGACTGTCCTCACGCTCGTGCCGCGTGGCATCATCTGCACTGTGGTGCTGTCGATCTACCGGGAGCGCAGCGAGTTTGGTCCGGTTCTCGGCCGCGATCCGATCTACTTTGCGCAGGACTCGGACGCACTCACCGCCTATGCGTTCGTCGTGCTGCTGATCTTCGCCGCATGGGCTGCATTCCGGACGCTGTTGCTTCTGCTATCATACCTCGGTCTGCTCTTCGCTGTTGGCCCGCGCTCCCTCATCGATAGCGTGGACAAGCCTGCGCCAGGATCCGAGGAGGAAGAGGCGATTCGTCTCAGCGACTACCACAGCAACGGCTCGCGGCGGCCTCTGGTCGGCGAGAGTCCCGCGCCGATGTGGGCCTCCGAGGTCGGCATGCCACAAGCGGCTGCGCGCACATCTGGCGAAGCGTTCTCCCGGGAGCATGCCGAAGAGCTCGGCGCCGCCGCCACACTGCCGGCAGCATGGCGCGACCGTGCTGAGGATCGCATCCGCGATGCGCTGCTCGAGTTTGGCCCGGGCGCACCTTCCACGCAGGACCACAGTCCGCGCGGCTCACTCGAGCGCCGCACTGATATGGCTGAGAAGCGCCGTAGCTACCTCAGCGCCAGCGGCACGTCCGGCGCCGGCCATGGGCCCGTCACGCTGGCGAGCACGCCGATGGCATCGCCTCAGATGGTGCGTGCCGGCAGCGCCGGAGCATGGGAGCACATCGAGGGCGACGCCGCCAGCCCACCGACCCGCGGACGTCCTCTGCCGTCCGAGGACCGTGCGTCGAAGCTTGCCAGCGCACAGAGCTCTCGAGCGCCTTCGGCTGCACCATCCGTCGCCCTCTTGCCGCCCAGTCGTGCGTCCACGTTTGGCGTGGTGACGCACGAGCCTCTCGAGGCGACACCGGTGCCTTCGGACAGCCAGGCGGGAGGAAGCGGGCGCTTCGCTTCCTTCGGCAGCGCCACGCCTTCGTTCAAGAGAGCGGCGCTTGTTGCTGGCGGCGGCGCAGTGAGCACGCTCGCTGTGACCGACGAGTCGCCTCAGCAGGAGCCGCGAGGCGAGAAGCGGCCACGCGGCTCGGAAGACTCGATGGAGTATGTCATCACTCCGAGCGCCAGCTTCGGCGACGCGGCTCGCCTGAGCCACATCAGCTCGAGCTCCGGCACGTCGAGCGCTGGAGAACAAGTCCTCGTGCTGCCGTTCCCGTCAGCCTCCACGAGCGACGTCACTGCCACGCCGCAACGCGATTCGCGTGAGCGACTCAGCGACTCGCCACCGCACTCGGGCGATGAACGCCGCGGCGACAGCCGCAGGTCATCGAAGATGGAGCGGCGCGGCACGCTGTCGCCCCGGAGCATTGCCGGCGACTCGCCGCCGAGTCTGCAGCCCAGTAGCGACAGTCGCCTGGGCCGGCCCAGTCGCGCCAACTCGTCGCTCTCGTCGCTGACCGAGTCGATTCGCGGTGCGCTCTCGCGCGTGGCCATGCGCTCTGGCGAGAGCCTCTCGGGCGACGGCGGCGAAGGTGTGCACACACCACGCATCTCTCCGCCCATCGCCACTGCCGCTCTGGCGTCAGGGCAGGAGGCCAGCGAGAGCGCTGGCGAGTCGATGCGCGCATCTTCGTCCTGGTGGCCTGCGCTAGTCGGGCGTCGCAACAAGAGCTCACCGCCGACGGAGGCCGCTTCGCTTGAGCCAGCGCCAGCACCCCCGGCCATCGAGATCGAGCGCCCGAGCTCTCCGCGTGAGGGCGGCAGCCTGCTCGCGCTGTCCAAAGATCAGGCCGCGCTCTCAGAGGCCGATGACCAAGCGCCTGCAGGTGAGCGGGCCAGCGACGAGCCCGTGCCGCCGTCGCCGGCGCTCAGTCTGCGAACCATCGAGACGGCCGCCTCCGATGACTCGGAGGAGCGTCGGCTGTGGGCCACGTTCCCTGACCAGTCGCGTCGCCACCCACCAGGCCTCATCGCGCTCGAGCACGAACAGCGCCAGCTCGAGGCTGCAGCAGCTCGGCAGCGAGAGCAGCGCGAGCAGCTCGGCGAGATGTCGGAGCGCACGCCGCGCGTGGCTGCTGTCAGCGATGCGGCTGCGGCGGCGGCCATGGCGTCGGATGACGCGTACAGCAGCGGCAGCAGCCATGCCATTCCGATCCTCGGCGCACGCAGCACCTCGCCAGACGACATTGCCGGCACACAGCATCTCTCGGCAAGCCCGACGGCGCAGGAGCTGGCCGTCAGTCCTTCGCAGGGCGGCCTCATTCCCATCAAGGAGGAGTCGTGGGGCTCCAGCCTGGACGCCTCGAGCGGCGCTCCTTCGCCCACGCGCTCGCACGCCTCGGATGCTCCGACGGGCGCGCCGCACTGAGACGCCTTGCCACCCCGCCTCCTCATTCCAGTCACCACTACACGTGCTCCCTGTGCTCTGTCTCTCTCATACCACCGCACGCCGGATACCAGTCCGAGGCACCCCGCTGTCTGCTTGACATGTCCGTCCACGTCACTCTGCACGCACGAATCGCACACTCATCACGCATCCTCCAAACGTCTGAGCCTGCTGAGAACGGTCTATTCGCGGTGGTTGCGGCCCTTGGCGAGCTGCATGGGCGTGATGCCCTTCTTCTCGGCCCGCCGCTTGCCCGCCCCGATGAGCCAGGCGGCGTTCTTCTCCTCGGCCGACTCCTCGCGCTTGGCGTTGACGAGGCCGCGCCAGTACGAGCCGGGCTTGCACCAGCCGTTGCCGAGCGGCACAATCTGGAACTTGGAGCGCTCCTCCGGGGTATAGTGCGGCAGCGCCGGGAAGCGGTCCTCGGCGAACGTCTTGCTCGGCTTCTGCGTGCCGTGCAGCGGCGCAGGGTTGGCCCACACGAAGTGCCGCCACAGCTGTGCGGCGGTCGCGCGGCGTGTCCACTCCGAGTGCAGCTGCGCCGCAGTCAGCGTCGCCGCGCTGCTGAGGTCTGCACCTTCCGGAGCGGGCAGCGGACCGTCGTACGTGCCTGCGCGCCATGCCAGCTCGTTGGGCCGGAAGCCGCAGTCCCACAGCACAAGCGGTGCCTCGTGCGCCATCTCGTACTGCGGCTTCGCGGCGAAGACGGTGAGCTGCTCGAGCACCGCTTCGGCGCGGGCCTGCTCCTCGGGCGTGAAGTTGAACTCTTCGTGTCCCGGCACGTTGCGCTTGAGCACGGGCCCTGTTGGCGTGCCGTCGGCAACGATGCCGTCGTCCTCGGTGGCGGTAGAGCCCGGCAGGACGATGCGGCCGTTCTTGGCGCTCACGCCGTGCTCCCATGCCCAGCGAGCGTCACGGGCCACGCCGCCGGCAGAGGTGTTGAGGAGCTCGTCAACGATCTGCGGCTTCTCGAGCCCGGCGCCGACGAGCATGAGGATCGACATGATGTGCCGCACCTGGTGATAGAGGAACGCAGTGCCGCGCAGGTTGAGCACCAGCATCGGCTCCTCATCGTCTGCGACGGCAACTGCAGCTGACGACGGGACCTGGCCACTGGACCAGGTCCGCGGCACCTCGTCAATCGAGACGCCATCGATGCGCCGCCGGAAGTTGGTTAGCTGCTTCGTGGGATCGACGCGGCACAGGTTGCGGAAGTCGTGATCGCCAAGCAGGCGCGAGGCGGCGTCACGCATGGCCACGAGATCGAGGCGAGGCGTCGGGCCCACGGCGTTGCTAGGCAGCGGCGAGCCGAGCGGGAAGAAGTACTTGTAGTGGCGGTAGCGGCAGGAGAAGCGCGCCGAGAACGACGGCGACACGGGCGACCACGCCAGGACGCGAATGGAGAGCGGCAGGATGCGGTTGAGCGCCACGATGTACGGCAGCTCCTCTGCATGCGGCTGCGGCGCCACCTTCGCTGCCGGAGCGTCGTTCGAGTCCGCAGATCCCGCCTCGGACCCCGACGCTGCCGCCTCCGTCTCGCTCTCGGCCGGAGCTGCACGCTCGCCCTTGCCCTCCCATGTGTCGAGCTGTCCGCCACCCTGCTCGCGGCGCTGCCGCAGCTCCTCCTCGTACTTTGCGCGGTCGGCACGCTCGTCGACCTTCCGGCTGCGGATCCAAAGGGCGACGACCTGTCCGGCAGCGCTGACGCCCTTGTCTGTGCGTCCGCAGCGCGTCCAGCCTGTCGCTTCCATGCCCAGGCTGCCGTCCACGAGGCGGGCCTCGACGAGTGCATGCCACAGCAGCGCCTCGACCGTCGGCAGCGGCGTCACGGCTCCGTGCTGAGCTGCGAGGCCTCCGTAGTGCGAGCCGTCGTAGCAGAAGCGCAGGGCAATCTTGCGCTGCGGCTGGATGCTAAAGTCAAATGGCCGCGGCTCCTTGTACGGCTGGCCGTTGCGCTTGCGCCGCGGCAGCACCTCAGCGTCACGCGTGGCAGAGGAGGACGAGGCGGCCTGCTGCTGCTGTGCGGCGGCGAGCGACGCCTCGAGCTCGGCGATGCGGCTGCGCAGCTGCTCGGTGGAGTAGGCGTCGTAGTCGATGGCCGCGGGCTCGGGCGCCGGCGACGCGGGCGCGCTGGAGGCGGCCGAGGCGCTGGCGCCACCGTACGGCACCGTGCCGTTCTGGATCGTCCAGACGCGGCCGGCGCCGGCAGTGTCGGGCTCCCACGGCTTGCGCGCCATGTCCTGCGAGTGCGAGGGCAAGGTGGGATGCAGCGGCCAGTGGCGCACGCCGGGCGCAACGGGCGACGGCGCAGTGAAGGCGAGCTTGGCGGCACTGATGCGCGGCAGACGCGCGGCGATGGCAAGAGCGTGAGCTGTGCTCATGCGCTCGCTTGGGCGCAGCGGAGAGGCGGAGGAGGTGAGGGGTAGGAGGAAGGAGGCGAGCGGTCGCGTGGGCGTCGACAAATTCGTGCCGCGCGCCAGAACAGCCACTCCCGACTCCCGCCGCAGACCCTGGCGCGACCCCCCCTGACAGACGTCCCTCGCTCGCGCGCGGATGTCATGATGCAGTTCTCAGAGGTATGTAGTGTGGCTGCGGGACAGACAGGATGGAGGCGTGTCGTGAGAGGTCGTGAGGGAAGACGGGGGGAGGCAAGCACGGCCGGCGTGCGCTTTTGGAGGGTGCGGCGCGCCGTTACCAGGCGATGCCGGCGGGGAAGATGGCGCGCGGCCAGGTGCGCACGGCGAGCTTGCGCACCTCGTCGACGAGGAAGAGGCCGAGGCCGCAGGCAATCGAGATGCCGATGTACATGCCGTCGATGCCGCGCGTAAGGAAGATGCGCTGCAGCGCCGCCGGGTACGACACGATGACGCCGGCGACGACGGAGAAGACGAGCGCAGGGAAGATCCAGAGGTTCTGCGTGCGCTCGTTGAACGCCGGCGGCTGCTGCGCGAGCGAGAGGCGCCGCGTGCGGATGCTCATCACGTTCCACCACTGCAGGCTGATGAGCGTCCAGAAGTACACCGACGTCGCCTGGTTGAGCACCTCGGCAAAGTAGTCGGGGTCGCGCGTCTGCACCGCGCCGGCGCCGTACTTGACGATGATGTCCGAGAACGGCACGCCGTGGTCCTGCATGTACGCAAAGCCGAGGGCGCTGGCGATGAGCGCGTACGGCACGCCGATGAAGAGGTAGGCGTGCAGCAGCGTCTTCCAGTCGACGAGGCGGTCCTTCTTGACGGAGCGCGGCTTGCGCGCCAGCAGGTTCGCCTCGGGCTGCTCATGCACCAGCGAGAGCGACGGCGCAATGTCCGTGACGCAGCAGATGAAGATCATCTGGAAGTTTGAGAGGATCTGCGGCAGGCCGAGGAAGAACGAGAGCAGCACGGGAATGAGCTCGGAGAAAGAGCCGGCGGGCAGCAGGTAGATGATGCTCTTGCGCAGGTTGTCGAAGCACAGGCGGCCGTGGAGGAGCGCATCGAGAATCGAGGAGAAGTCGTCGAGCAGCACCAGGTCGGCGGCCTCCATGGCAACCTCGCTGCCGGAGCCCATGGCGATGCCGACCTGCGCCGCCTTGAGCGCCGGTGCGTCGTTGACACCGTCGCCCGTCATGCCGACGACCGAGTCGCGCGCCTGGAACTCCTTGACGATGCGCAGCTTCTGGTCCGGCGTCGTGCGCGAAAAGACGATCTCGTCGAAGGCGCACACCTGCGACCAGTCGCCCGGCTGCAGCTTCATGATGTCGGAGCCCGTGAGGCTGAGCGCACGCTGTTCCCGCGCGTCGTTGTCCGCGAGAAAGTCGTAGTCCGGCAGCGGCTCCATCGATGCGAGGTCGTCGAAGGTGCGCACCTTGCCTGCCGTGACGATGCCGATCTGGCGCGCGATCGCCACGGCGGTGGCCTCGAAGTCGCCGGTCACCATCAGGAAGCGCAGGCCGGCGCCGCGGCACGTCTTGACAACGTGCGGGATCTCCGGACGCGGCGGGTCGACGATGCCCACGAGGCCGACGACGGTGAGCGACGTCGTGAGGTCGAGCAGCTGCGCCTCGGAGAAGGAGCCGTCCTCGGTGCGCTCGACGATGCGGCGCGTGAAGAGCAGCACGCGCTGGCCCTGGTTCGCCCAGCTCAGCTGCAGGTGCGTGAGGTAGGCCTGGCGCTCGGGCGTCAGGGGCAGGATGTCGCCGGAAGCGTCGAGGACCGAGGAGCAGCGCTTGAGCAGCACGTCGGGCGCGCCCTTGGCGAGGAGCAGGAGGTTCCTGTCCTGCTTGAAGTCGGCACTGCCGAGCGTCTCGACGACGCGGTCGTGCGAGCCGGTGGCGCTGAGCACCTGCACGGCGAACTTGTTCTTGCTGTTGAACGCCAGGCCGGCGGCGCTGGTCCAGTCGGCGCGCGCCGCATCGACGCCGACGAGCTCCTCGGCGAAGCGCAGGCAGGCCTGGTCCGTGGCGTCGCCGTGGATGATGCGCAGCGGCAGCGGCGTGCTGGCCGGCGTCGAGGCGTCAAAGCTCGCGGCGTTGCAGATGGCGCCAATGTGCGCCAGCTGGCTGAACGCGCTGCCGAGCGGCGCGCCGAGCGTGATGTGCTTGGCGGCGTCGGAAGGCATCGACTCGAAGCCGTGCAGGCCGCACGACTGGACGAACATCTTGTTCTGCGTCAGGGTGCCCGTCTTGTCGGAGCAGCTGCGTGGAGACACCGTCAGTACATGCCATGCTGCGGCCTCGAGAGGCGCCACTCACAGCACGTTGACAGAGCCGAGCGTCTCGACCGTGCCGAGCGACTTGGCGAGGACGCGCGACTTGCGCAGCTTCATCGCCACGGCCGTGAGCGACAGCGTGACGCACACCGGCAGGCCCTCGGGGATGAAGGCGACGCAGATGCCCACGATGTTGACGAGCATCTGCGACACGCTCATGAAGTCCGGGTGCTTCTGGCGCAGGAAGGCAGCCCACACGATGATGCAGATCGTGGCGACGATCGCTGCGAGGCTGGCGATGATGCATACGAAGCGGAAGATCTCAGTCTCGAGCGTCGTCCGGCCTTGCTTCGGCGCCGAGGAGATCTTGGCGAGGCGGCCAAAGACGGTCGAGTCGCCTGTCGACGTGACGACGCCGAGGCCGCTGCCACTGACGCACGACGTGCCGGCCATGACGATGTTGCGGCTCTCGAGGTAGTTCTCGTCGGTCAGGTCGACGGAGCCCTGCACGGCGTCGGACTCGCCGGTGAGCGAGCTGCGGTCGAACTTGAGCTCGCTGCTGATCTCGATGATGCGCATGTCGGCCGCCATCTTCTGGCCCATGCCGAGCACGACGATGTCGCCGCGCGTCAGCTCCGTCGCCGGCACCGTCTGGCGCGAGCCGTCGCGCAGCACGAGAACGTCCGACGGCAGCATCGAGCCGATCGAGGCCATGACGCGCGAGCTGCGGCAGAGGGTGTCAGGGGTGCACGGTCCGACGGCTCGGTGCGCTGTGCTCACGTGGTGAAGGACTGCCAGCAGTTGAAGATGGCGTTGGAGAGAAGGACGACGAGGAGCACGACGGCCAGCGCCAGGTTCGAGACCTGCGGCGCAGGCTCGCCGAGCGGCTTCCAGGCGATGAAGCAGATGACCGAAGCTCCCAGCAAGATACACCTGAGGAGGATGAGCACGAGGGGGAGATGCGGTGACAGGTAGGGAGAGCGCAACGTACCCGAAGCCGCCGAACACCCAGCCGATGATCTTGCGGAACCAGCGGCCGGACGGCTTGGACATGCGGTTGGGGCCGTACTGGGCCTGGCGGCGCTGTGCCTGCGCGGCGTCGAGGCCGCTGAGCGGCGACACGCCGAGGCGGTTGAGCACATCGTCGACGGAGAGCGTGTGCCACTGCATCGCCGTGAGCTCGGTGAGCGTCTTGCGCTCCTTCTTGCGGCGCGTGTCGGCGTCGGCGAGACCGCCGCTGCTGAGGACAAGCGACATGGTCCGGTAGTTCATCGCGAGTCTCGCACTGCCGTCCACGCGCGGCCGGCCGCCGAGGCCGCCAATGGAGTGCTGGCGCTCGAGCGTCTTCTCGCGCTGCAGACGGCGCGCAGCTGCATCGTCGCTGGGCTGCGAGAAGGCGACGACGTTGGGCGTCCACTCGGGCGCGCCGCTCTTCTCGACGTCGGGCGCGCCGTGGCTGGCCTCGGTGGCGCCATGCTGCGACTCGGAGGCATCGGAAGGCTTGCTGGAATGGCCGGGCGACATGGTGGAGACGGAGACGGCCACGCCGTGTGGGTGTCGGTGGGCAGACGGGTGTTGCGCGAAGAGAGGCGGGCGGACAGATGGCTGGGCAGGGAGGTGCTCGAGGGCGCGTCGGGGGCGCCCTCTTAAGCCTCTCGCCGGGTCACTCTGAGCACGCCCGGCATTCGCTGTTCAGGCACCACGCTTTGCAGAGGGCTGCGCGCTGAACTGCCGTCTGTGCACCTCAAGAGTGGCTGTTGCAGACGCCGGTCAGCTAGCCGAGGACGCAAGGAACGTCTCTCGTCGCCGTCCGACGCGATGCTCGCGCGCGTCGCGGCGTGGCTGCGCCCGGCTCGCACGGCCGCTGGTGCCTGTCTCGCGCCCTGCATGGCTCGCAGCGTGAGAGCCCACGCCTGGCGAGGCCAGCAGCGAAGGCCCGCCATCCGCTGCTGGCGGAAGAGGCGAGGCAATGCGGGCTGAGGCATTAGGGCGAGCGCTGGCGACGCGGGGAGCGTGCGCGGCGAGCTGCCGGGCGCCGCGAATAGCGACTCCGCAGGCCGGCCGCGCGTGCGTGCCCGCTGCGCTGTGTCAGGGGCGGCGCTCGGCCGCTGCGTTCTCATTGCACAGCCTGCAGCTGGCGAGGCACTTTCTGCGTCGAATGCGGCGGCATCGGGCAAGCGAGTGCGCCGGTTGCTTGCCCCGTCGCCGCCGCGAACGGCGGGCAGCGGGCGCAGCATCGCAGGAGAGCCATGCAGGGCACGCGGCGTGGGCTGAGGGCGTGGGCAGCGGGTAGGGGGCTGTGAGCGCGCACGTGTGGACGCGCCGGCCGCGCGCGAAACGCCGCAGCGCCGCAGCCGCCGTCGCCGCCGCCGCGGGTGCCGTGCCGCCGGCATGCGCTCTGTTCTGCCGGCACGGCACGACGGCGGGCAAGCGGGAGGCGCAGCGCGAGTGGGTTCTACGCCGCGTGGCTGCGCTGACTTGAGCGGCATGCGAGGATCGACAAGGCGCAGCTGCGCTCTGGGTGTGGGAGGAGAGGCCTCTGCTGCTGCGGCGCTCTTTGGCGGCTGGAGCAGGAAGGGGCGGAGTAACGCTTGACACTAGACTCGCCGCTGCCGCCGCACGCCGTGCCGCGCTGCCGCGGCCGCAACTCCGCCGGCGAGTCCATCGTCAAGTCTGGAAGCGAGCAGCGAGACGGGAAGGAGGTGCACCGACGCAGACATGGAGCATCTCTGCTGTGAGCGGCCGCGCGCCGGCGTTGAGGCTGAGCGGCTGGGCGGCACGAGCTTGCACGTGCGCTGCTCTGGACAAGGCCGCATCCATCGCTCCAGACAAGAATCACCGACTCGGCAGGCTGTTGCTGCATCGTACGTCACACCCATTGCATTGCCGTCTCCTCACCAAGTGAGGGTCACGCCGGTATCCCGAGACTGCCACGCTGCCACAGCGAGGGCCACGAGCGCCGCCGTCGCACCGGCGCCTGAGAGAGTGGCGACGAAGCGGCGCTCTCTTCGCCGTCGCTGCTCAGCTCGCGCCGCCAATGCAGCTTCGTCCATCGCCCCCTGGGTGCCGCTGCGCAAGTCGAGCGCAGCGCCGAACATGTCCTCGAGCCCGCTGCTGGCCTGCGGTCCAAAGAAGCGCTGCGGTCCGAGCTGGAACGAGTCGCGCTCGTGCCGAGGTGCAGGCGCCTGCTGCGCATTGGTGGGAGACCAGTCCATCGAGTCGACGCCTTGCACTTCGCTGGTGGGTTGCAGCAACGTGTCGAGCGTCAATGAAGGCTGTCCGAAGACGGGCGTCGGCCGCTCAGAGAGGGAAACGGCGGACAGCGAGAGTGCAGGCAGTGGATCGGCTGGTGCTGCCGGCAGTGGCGCAGTGGGCAGTGGCAGCTTGCTCGTCGGCACAGTGCCAGAGACGAGACGCACGCGGGCCGGCGCTCTGAAGCGCAGGCGCCGGACGGCGAGGATGAGGGACTGCGAGGCTGGTCAATAGACGAGTCGTAGAGGCTCAACAAGGGACTCACGATCACTTGCGCTGTGCCCAGCACGCCTTGCACGGCTCGCAGGGCAGCGGCAGTCACGTACTCTCGCGACAACAGCTCGCTGTCGGCGTAGACGAGCAGGGCACTGGCGGCACGAGCGATCAGGATCGCAAACTGTGCGCGCTGGAAAGGGCAGCCTGATGAGCCGAGGGCACGTCCGAGCTGGCACGCGCAAGACTCACAAGCCACCATGCCGTGCCGTCCAGCCGCACGCGGTCGCCTCCCACACGCACGCGAGCGCTTGCGGCGTGTAGCCAGAGCGGGTTCCAGAAGTTCCAGAGCAACGCTAGGGGCAGGCTGAGCAGGACAGCCTGCGCGGCTGAGCGGCTCGCACGCTGGCTGAGGAGCGAAGGCTCAGCGGCCGCTGTGAGGGACACGGCGTGAGCAGGAGCGACGAGTGCGGTCGGCTCCAGACAGCCTCGGACGCCTCGTGCTTGCGCGCTGCACACCTCAAGCCCAATATCCTCTCTCTTGCAGCGGCAGCACTCACCATCAGCGGCCAGCACGAGGCCGGCAACGAAGCTGACTGCCCAAAGCGCGCCTCGAAGTGCCCAAATAGCAGCGCTCATCGGACGCACCACCTGCACCGGCGCTACAGCAGCCCTGCTGCGCTGCAGCCAGCCCTCCATGGCCGAAGCGCGCGACATGCGATCGCGGCGATGGATCGTCTGCTCGACGCTTGGGCGACACGCATCGCAGAGGAGCGGATAGCGCGCCTCGAGGCCGGCCTTGTACGCTGGCAGCGCCGCATCGAGCGCCTGCTCCTCGGCCGCACTGCACGCGGCGGGATAGTAGGCTGCGAGCAGGCCCATGTGCAGCGCGTGGTTGGTGCGGCAGGTGTGGCACAGCTCGAGCGAGGCGTTGGGCGCCGAGGGAAAGGCATCTGCAGCGGCGGCTGCGGTCAGCGGGCCGTCGTCCAGGCCATCTCGCACCTCGCACTCACGCGCGCCCATGGCAGAGCGCTGCATCGCGCAGCGACGGGACGCAGCCCGCTTGGTGGACCTCTGCGGCGTGATCTCAGCCCCGCTCTGCGGCAGGCGCCGTGTTGGTGTGGAGGTGCGCAGCAGAGGGACCTAGGCCAGAGAAGCGCGAGGGGGCCTCTTGGGCAGCGCACGGCACATCTGGTCCGCAGCCGGTGTGCGAGCGGCGGAGCGAGGGACACAGCAGCAAGCGAGTCGAGGTGCGGTGGTGGTTGCTGGTGTCGCTGCGAGGTCTCCACGCCGCTGCTGCTTCTCGTGCAGGAGGAGGACAAGGCGCGGCGCGGGACTCGGAATACGCGCGCTGCTCAACTTTCCTCTGCCGACCCTGGTGGCTGCCGCCTTCTCGTCAGCCGCCACCTTCCTCTCCCACCTTCCTCCCCGTTTGGTTGCGCACATGACCTCGCACCAGCTCCTTTCCGCCGCCCTCGTCTCGTCGCGCACCGCCGCCGCGCGCGCCGGCGCCGCCGTGGCGCGCACGCGCGTGCCGCCGCCCGGCGCCGAAGATGCCTCGCCGGCGTCCATGTCGAGGGACGGCCTCTCGGCCCGCGAGCGGCGCCGCAGCCGTGCCGCCCGCTTCGGCACGCTGGCCCCGGAGCATGCTACGGCACTACCGACTGAGCTTGTGCAGGCCATTGCGCAGTGGCGCGAAGGTGAGTGTGGCAAGGAGGCGCCCCTGTCCCGCGGCTCACCTCTTCTGCTCGCAGAGGCACCGGCGCCGCCAAAGTCCAGCGGCGGACCTCTGCGCTCGGCACATGAGCATCTCCTCTCGCCGCGCTCGCCGGCGCGCTATGCCATCCTGGTCAAGATCCTACAGTCGCTGGCAGACCGGCTGGGCCCAGGGTCAAGCGGGCAGGGCTCGGCCGGCTGGACCCCGCGCCACGTCTCTGACCTCTCGTGCGGCGCGGGCGAGGGCCTGTGGGCAGCGGCTCAGGCCTGGCCGAGTGTGGCATCGTATGCTGGCTCCGACGCAGCCGGCGCTCTGGCACGCACGGGCGGCGACCTCTTGCACCTGCTGCCAGAGGAGCATCCCCTGCGTGCTGTGCGGACCTCCTTCCGCTCCAACCGCTCGGCGTCGGCGCCACGGCGCGGCGAAGCAGCTCAGACGTTGGCGCTGATTCCGTTTGCGCTCGCCGAGCTGCCGTCCGACGCAAGCCGCTCGCGTCTGATCCGCGAGGCGTGGGACAGTGGCGCCCACGTCATCGTCCTCGTCGAGGCGGGCGACACGCGCGGCTTTGCCTGCATTGCCAGTGCGCGCGAGGAGCTGCTGGCACTGGGGCGCGGAGAGGGCGAGGCGAGCACAGTGGGACTCGAGAGCATCGTCGTCGACGGCCGGACATACTACGCTCAGCCGAGTGCGGACGATGCCGAGGGTGACGGCGCAGCTGCGGAGAGCACAGCCGAGGGCTCATACGTCGTGGCACCGGTGCGTTCTCTCTCAGACGCCTGCGCTCTGGCCGCTCATCTGCCCTTTCAGTGCCCGCACGACCGGCCGTGTCCACTGCTGCACGACTTTCTGCCGAGCACCTCTTCCACCTCCTTCCACGGCGGCACTGCGCTGCCCGTCTGCTCCTTTCCCTCGCGCGCCTCGATTCCATCGTACGCAGCAGCACCGCGACCCGACGACAGCTCGCGCTTCTCGTATGTGGCGATTGTGCGGGGACAGCGGCCGTCTGCCTCTGCGCGGGAAGAGGACGTCGCCACCGGAGCAGCACGAACAAAGCTGGGCATTCTCGACGAACTGCGAGCTGGACCACGACGATTGCCGGCGCAGATCGTGGAGCCGCTGGCATTTGAGGACGAGGCAGAGCTCTCACCAGAAGACCTCGCAGCTCGTCAAGAGCTGCTAGCACTGCTGCCGCAGGCGCTCGAGCGCGAGGCCAAGCTGAGCGGCCTGCCTCTGGACAGCGAGGCTCTGGCAGAGTCCTTGTCGCAGGCGCACGACCTGTGGTCGGAGAGTGCACAAGCAGCGGAGCAGAGTGCGGTGGACGAGCAGCGGCAGACTGAGAACGATGCGCTCGAGGACAGCTCGTCGTTCATCGAACAGGCGACTGGCTCGAGCGCCTCGCTGCCGGACCTCTCGCAGCTGCTGGCCGATGCCTCGATCCAGCAAGGCGACGACGGTCGGGAGCTCAGTCCCTTGCTGGAGCGCGCGTTCTCAACAGACGCAGAGGAGCCAGATGCCATGCCTGTCGAGGTGTTCAGCCCCGAAGACGAGGAGTCGATGCGTCTCGAGGCCCTGTCATGGCCGCGACTTGTGCGGCCGCCGCTCAAGAAGGGCGGCCACGTCACCTTTGACGCATGCACCGCCTCCGGTACGTCATTCTGCAGTCGAGCCTCCCTGGCGCGCCAGCTCACATCTTACGCCTCCAGGTGCCATCGAGCGCTTCACCTTGCCTCGCTCGGCGGGCCGGCAGGCGTACCACGACGCGCGCAAGGCGTCCTGGGGCGATCTCTTCCCCCACGACGCCGGCAAGGGCACGACGGAGCGAGTTCCCGCTGCGTCAGACGAGCGTACGCCGGCAGCTCGCGGCGTGCAGCGCACGCCGGCCGGCAAGAAGGTGCGCCGTGAGATGCTCAGCTCGGCCGCTGCCATCGGCGCCGACCTTGTGGCGCCTCGTGAGCGCGAGGGCCGCGGCGACGCAGAGGCGACGGCACGTGGCGGCAAGAACATCGTCGGCCGCAGAGCTCACTACACGCAGGGCGGAGGCGGCGACGCTCGGAGCGCCCGTCCGAGCCGGAAGCGCAGCATGGGCGACTACCACTTCGAGCCGATGGAGGACGGAGCCTTTGTATGAGACGGCAAGTGGGCCACGCAATATACCTCTGCACTCTGGCCGGACCACTGCACTCTGCTCTCGGGACAGTGCATCGGCTAAGTCTATGATTGAGTCAGTCGGCGCCTGACGTGACAGTGCTGCGATGCTTGCTCCTCTGCGGCTCATCCGACCTCATCGACCTTCGAGCGGTGCAGTGAGAACGCGGGCGTGACCCATGCTCCGCTGAAGAGCAGACTGCAATCAGCGCCATGCCTGCGCAACATCGCAGCACACTCACCAGCCGCACTGCATACCCGCCCAATCCCAACTGCCCAGCTTGGCGCCGCACTTGGTGTTCGGGCAATCAAGGCGACCGGCCACCTCGCCGCCGCGCAGATTCTCCATCCACGCCAGCGGCTCGACAAAGTAGGCGCTGCACGCGGCCGAGTGGATCATGCGCGAGCCACCCGCGCCAGCTGCATTGGCCGCGCCAGCGCCCATGCGCAGCGCCGCGAGTGCTGGTGGCAGAGAGGCGGTAAGGCTGGCAGCCGACCTGAGGCCTGGCGGCTGTGCTCCTTCGGCCGGCGCTGAGGAGCTCGCCGCAGGTGCAGCGTCGTCGGCGTCGGTCGTGGATGCAGCAGACGACGCCTCTTCTGCGCGGCTGCGTGCGCCAAACTTCTGCTCCGCATTGAGGTCGGCCGCCGTGCGGCCAACCGTGCGGCCCTCGCGCTCGCGCTCGCCGAGGTCCTTTCGGCGTTTGCGTGCCGTAAAGGCGCCCTGCCCGCGTCCCGCCTCGTGCTCTACGACATGATCACGCGCCGCCAGCTCGCGACGGCACATTTTGCAGCGCAGCTTTGGGCCCTGGAAGACTGGACTTGGCAGCGTTCCGGCATTGTGACGACCCTCGTTGCCGCGCAGCAACTTGACGCCTCCCGGCAGACGACCCGAGTTGCTCGTGATCTTGACTTCGCGCGGATCGCTGACGGAGCTGAACAGCGGCGTGTCCGCATCGAGATCCACCGCGCCGGCGGGAAGCGGAGGCGATACGGAGAGATCCAACGCCGAGCCGTCGGTGCGCGACGTGGCGCGCGACATGACGGGACTCATCTGCAGGCGTGCGCTCGAGGCGCCGCTGCTGCTGCCGCGACGGTGCTCGCCGTTCACCGAGGAGGCCTTGGAGAGGGAAGGCGAGGCGAAGGGCGAGGGGTAGTACGCGAGCAGCACATCCTCGATGCTGTCGCCGTTCAAAATCGACGTCTGCGCCATGAGGAAGCGTCGCACCGACTGATGGCGCACATCGACGACGCAGCCAGCGTCCTGGTAGAGCTCAAGCCTGGAGACCGTGTGCGTCAGCTTTCCGCAGCCTCACAAGCGGCAAGACACAACGACAGACTCACTGCGCCATGAAGCCAGCATTCGGCCCGGCCTGTGGTCGCCGCGACTTGACAAGCTCGAGGGCGTCGGGCAGCTCCATGTCGCGCGTCTGCATGAGGTAGGCCAGCACAATCTACGGGCGTGGGTCAGATCCGCTCACAAACACCGGATCCAGCAAGCCAGGGCCGAGTCTGTGTTTGCAATTCGCGCTGCTCCGAGCTCCAGACCTGCCTCTGCTGCATGCATCACTCACCGCGACACTGCGGCTGACGCCCGCCTGGCAGTGCACAAAGACGACATTCTCGCCCGGGTTCCACCAGCCGCCTTGGCTGCTGCTGCCGCCGTCTGCGCCCTCGCCGTCGCCCTGCTCCTCGTCCTCGATCCATGTCTCTGCCAGCACGCCCTTGAGCCAGTCGACGGCCGAGGGCAGATGCACGAGCATCGGCGCGGCCTCGACGTCGTCGATGCGCACGTGGTGCATGTGCTCTGCGGGAATGACGCGGCCGTCGGGCAGCGTCGGCGGCGGCGGCAGGCGCTGCTTCATGGCGGTGAGGATGTGCGTGACGCCGGCGGCGGCGAGATAGTCGGGCGCCAGCGCACACGCCAGGTCGCCGATCCAGAGGTGCGGGATGATCTCGTCCATCGTGCAGTCGCTGCTGCGGCCGGCTGGCGCGCGCGGACCGAGCAGCGGGTTGACGGCGAGCGGCGCAAGCGCCAGGACGGGCGGCGCTGGCGGTGCAGCGAGGCAGACGAGTGGCAGGTGCGGGCCGTGAGCGCGATGCGAGTCGAAAGCAGGAAGAGGCCAGTGCTGAGGGTCGGGTGTGGAGCAGCGGAGCGCCAGGCGGGGACCTGGATCGGCGCCGTGAATGGACCCCGAGCGCGCACGGCGCTGTCGCACGAGAGAGCCGCACACGCCCACGGCCGCTGGCTGCCGTCGAGCCGGCTTGGCCGTCTTCTGTCTTCCCACCACCAGCAAGTTGCGTTCAAAATGCTGGTCTCGGCGAGCAGTGTGAGACTCCGGGCCCAGTGTGGCCCGTGCAGCTGACCAGGCCAAGCAGAGAGTCGCAGCGAGGCGCAGCCGTCATCGTCGCGTCGCTTGCTTCAGCTCGATCACTCCCGCGGTGCCGAGCTGACGCTGACACATGCAGCTGTGCTTGTGCACGGCACCGCCTTGCCGCAGCGAGCAAGCGTCGTCGCGGCCATGGGCGGGTGATGCAGCAGGCCGTGCGAGTGGGCGAGCGAGCAAGCCAAGGCCAAGGCCTGCGTCGCGAGAGAGGCCCTCAGGTGCGCTAGCGTGCGCAGCCTGGCGCGTCGCAGCGGCCGGCCCTGCGGCGCATGTCACGCGCGCCAGCCGCGCTGCGAAATTGGCCTCTGGCCAAGGCCGGACAGCGCCTCTTCGCTTCCGACCTCCATCGCGCCGGCACGCCGTACATCGCAAGCAAGCAGAGGCACCGCGCTCGGACTCGCAGGTGCGCTCGGCTCTCGGCAGCACAGCCTGCGGCGCGGCAGCAGCCATCGGACAGCATGGCACCTGCACGCACGCATCCCTCTCTCCTGTCTCGTTCTGCGCGCCGTGGACTTGACAACCTCGGCTAGCGCTGCTACACGAGCAGCTATGGAAGTGCGCCTGCTGCTGCATGCATCGGCAGTCGCCACTGCCACCCCCGCCCAGTGTCCTACTGTCGCGGCGCTGGCGCTCTACTCCGTCAGCGATGCCTCGGCCTCGGGGCCCACGCCGAGATGCAACCGATGCATCTCTAGCGGTGCCTGGTTGACGCACGCCGTAGACAGCTCGCCAACACTCTGAGTCGATCTCGGTGAGGGCGTCCTCCGTCAAAAGGATCGCTGCGATGAGCGCTCGAGCGACGCCCCTCCGTCTGTGGCCTTCTCTTTCTCCCCTTCTCCTTTTTGACGCCCCTGCGCCTCCTTTCTAACGCTTTCCTCTCTGTTTACGTCCTTTCTCTTTCGACGTCCTTTGCAACGCTCCCACGCGCTCTCACCTCTGGCAGGCGGGAGATTGCGACGAGCACTCACGCCCTCACGACTCGACGTCGCTTCACACGCCTCTCGCCTTCACGAAAGCCCTTGACGTGGCGATCACGCAGCCTCTCTGCGACCGCCGGCTTCATTCTTCTCTTCATAATCTTCCTTCTCCTCACGACACGTGCAACGCTCCGCGTCTTTGCTTCCGACGAGAGCGGCAGCTCCGGGCTCTGACGCTCCTCACGTCCCTCATCTTCTCTGCTCCTTCACGTTTCTGCACGTCTTCTCCGCTTCTGCTCCTGCGTCAAAGATCTACTCGACCCGTGCGACGCCGTCTCGATTGCTGAGCTCCGCGTCGAGAGCTGGATCTCTCCGACTAGAGCAGCCCCGCACCTTTCCTGAAGGCTTGTCTGCCTGACCAACGACTGCTCTTTCCGAGCTCGCCTGAACGCAGCGACGGAGTAAGTCGCTCAGACGTGCGCCAATCGCACGCACACACTTCAGGCCCTTCACGAGAGCGTCATCGACAGTCGGCAGCCCTCACGGGCGCAGGCGGAGCTTTCGCGATGCAGCGTCCTTTTCCCAGCGCCTCTCGCGGCGGCATGCCCAATCCACACGCCGAGCGTCCGAGCAACTCGTCCGGGCAGCTCCAGTGGGAGCTTGCCTCTCCGCGGCCCGGGCCGATGGCGTCGAGTGCCCAGCAGGCCGAGGCGCACGCTCGCAATCTGCTGGAACAGGCACAGCGACGAGCTGCAGCATCCCGCCCAGTCGAGACTACACAGCAGCAGCCGATCAGCAACTTCGGCAGCGGCATCATTCGTAAGCCAGTCCCGCCGATGGCAGCGCCGATGAATATCACTCGACCTTCGCCCACACGTCTGGCGCCAGTGCGTCTCCAAGCCGAGGTCGCCGCTCGTTCCTGGCAGCAGGACCGCTTGGCGCTGGCGCGCAGAGGCATGCGTCCCAGCGAGGCCAGTGAAGCTTCAAGCTGGGACTCTGGCGAGAGCACGCCGACGCCAACGGCTAGCAGCGTGGCGGCGGCACAGTCGGCGTACCGCCGTGATGCGGAGGAGATTCGCCTCGTGCCTGTCAACCTCTTTCATCCGAGTCAAGTGCCGAGTCCAAAGCCCAGTCCGGCATCAGCACCGTCGAGAATTTCCTCGACGCCACAGGCCATGAGTCAACGAAGCGACGCTGAGACCCAGCACATCACGAGAAAGCCTGTGCTGCAGGCAGAGGGCATTGCTGCTGCACACATCGCTCGCACGCAGCAGGGGTCGCCTCCGCAGGTGGCACCAGGTGTGGCAGAACGGCTCCAGCAGCCTGCTGCGGCCAATGCGAGTGTGCCTCAGTTCCGCACAGACTTCCACAACATGCGCCGCTTCTCCGTCTCGCAGGGCGCCGCCACGAGCGGCACGCTGCCAGTGAGGATCGGTGGCAAAGGGGCAGCACCGGGACCAAGTGTGCTGTCGGACGGGCGCCCACAGCAGCTCCGTGGCGCGCCTGCAGCGTCGAGCAGCCGGACGCCAGCAGCGAGTCCGCCGCTTCCTCTTCCTGTCTCATCGCCCGTGCCCGACACGCCACGTCCGGAGGCCATTCTTCGCAATCGGTGGAGCGAGCCAATCATCTCGAGCCCTGCCGCCAGCCGGCCGGCGACAGGCACACGTACGCCTCCGCTGCGTCAAGACGATGGGGACGGACCACGTTCGCGCAACACCTTTGGGCCTGATGCTTCAATGTTCGAGCATGCCCGGCAGCTGCTGTTGCAGCACAAGGAGCAAGTCGAAGCAGCCGATGCGCGAGCGTCGCTGACGGCTCCGGATCGCGGTCTACCAACGCGTCGGCTGTCCAGCGCCACATCGCTGCGTCGCTCTTCCTTTGCGTCAGACACGACTGCTTTCGACACGCCTGGTCTGGCGAATGAAGCTTCGCACATGGAGCTGCAGCGCAGCTCGAGCAGCCGGGTGGCCGAGAAGAGGCGCTCAGTCGACCTGACTCAAGACGCTGCGCCAGCAGCAGGCACACGGAGAGGCGTGGCCACTGGCAACGTCGCTCCGCCGAGCGCAGTGCCCGAGACGCGCGAGCCATCGGTTGCAGGCGCTCGAGGCGAGATCGCACGTTGGCCTACGCCGCCTCAGGTCCACGTCGTGGACAGCAAAGACCTCACACGGCGCCCGTCATTCCTGCGCCTCATTCCCATCATCGGCACAACGTCGCGCCGGCCGGGCACGGCCCAGACTCGTTTCTCCGTGCGCTCTGGACATAGCCACGGCCACGAAGCGCGGCGAGGTCACCTGCCGACGCCCGCATGTCGCCAGTGCTTCCGGGCGGGCTTCGACTGCGCCCTCAACCTGCAGCTAGGTGAGGGGACCAACGGCCGACGCGCATTCCAGGACTTTGTCGCTTCGGGTGGTCTCGACGCGCTCAAAGTGGACGAGGACCAGGGCGCAGCAAGCGTGGCGCTCTCCAACGTCCTCGGACACAACTACGTCGACAAGCTCGGCGAGGTCGCGTTTGGCGAGAGCGCGCTGAGCCGACCCGTCACGCGTGCTCGCATCGACGACATGCTTGATGAGCGCGCAAACCAGCTGGCAGAGCAGCAGAAGCGCATGACTGTCGAGGACTTTCGCGCTCAGCTCAACGATGCTGCGCATCAGAGGAACTTTGGGCGTCGTTCGGCAGACCATGCTGAGCTGCGCAGTCCGGAGAAGCGCGAGGATCAGGACAGTCCCACCTCGTCTGAAGACTCCAGCTCCACGGGCTCGGACGATCTCCTCTTCCTCGCTGAGCGCTGGTCGGCAGCACGCAAGTGCTGGCTGGTCGCATGCCTCAGCACATGGCTCGTCATCGTGCAGGCTGTCGATGCAAGCTTCGTGAGTCACTTTCCAGGAAGCGGCTTGAGCCAGCTGACATCGTGCACAGGCCACGTCACTGCCTGTCATCGCCGCAGGCACCGATGTGCCGCTGCCCGCATTCTTCGCTGGACGTCTCGCCTTTCTCTGGGGCGAGAGCGGCGGTGTGGCTTTGGGAGCTGGCCTTGCCGTACTAGGACGTCGACGCATCATTGCGTCGACCCCGGGCCTCGTTGCCATCGCAGCTGTCCTCGCTGGCTTCATGCGCAACCCATGGGCCTTCACGGCCATGCGCGGCGTCATCGGCTTCGGAGCAGGCGTTTTTGTCATGTCGTCAATTGCCTGCCTCGTCGACACCTTCACGACGCGCTCGAGTCGCACGGCAGCTGTGGCAAGCCTGCTGATCAGCGCTTGCGCTGCTGAGCTAGCGGGTCCGTGGATCGCTGTGCTAGTGCTGCGCTACATCCCATGGTGCGTCTTCGCGTGCTGTCAAGGAGATGCAACTCTGACTCACTGACGCTTCGCGCTTGGCAGGATGTGGCTCTACTGGGTTCCTGCGCTCGCTGCATGCCTCTTCGTGCCCGCCTTCGCACTCGCCTTTCAGGAGACAGCGCCGCTGCTGCGCTTCCGCAAGCACGTGGCGGAGATGGAGCGCATCGGCGGCGGCTGGATGCCCGAGCCTGCGCCGCCGCCATGCCCTTGGAAGGTGGTGCGCCATCACGTCCTGCAGCCGTACCGCGTGCTTTGCACGCACTGGCTCGTGCCTCTCTCGGCAGTCACGGCATGCATCTTCCTCGGAGCTCTAATGCTGGCCATGAACAGCCTCGTCGCCGTGTGGGTCGAGGTGCACGGCATGCGTCTCGCCGTTGCGCAGGCAGCCTTGACGGCAAGCGGTGGCATTGGTCTCGTTGCAGCTGGCCTCCTGGCGGCTCTCTTCTACTCGCGTCCCAGCACGCTAGCGCCGAGTCGGCGCCCTCTGCACATCGACGAGAAGGGCTTCATCGACTCTGCGCCGGCCGAGCCGCTGCCTGAGCAGCTGCTGTTCCCGGTGCTGTGCTCGGCTCCGGCGGCAGCCTTCGGTGAGTCGCTGAGAAGAGCGAGCGCGGCATACTCGATCCAGTCGCTGACGGTCTTCCAGCGCTATTCATGCTGGCGGTCGTGGCACCCCTGAGCAGCTGGGTGCCAAGCGCTCTGGCGCTCTGCCTCCTCAGCGCCGCTGTTCTACTGATGGTGCTTGGGCTGCTGAGCTACTTGTCGGAGTGCTACTATCCGGCGCGGCCGACGATCCTGATCGAGTTGGTCGCGCCCTCGTCGCTCGACACGACCGAGGACCCATATACGCACTTCGGACATGCCACGGCCCAGCGGCGACAGTCCCACACGAGCGCCTCCTCGGTCAGCACGCAGTCGCTGCGCCTCAGCTCGGCTGAGACGCGCAGACACGGCATGCAATGGGCCGTGTGTGCCGTTGCAGGTGTACTGATCGTAGGCCTCCTCGGCGCCGGCGCCATCGAATCTGCTGTCCAGTCTGGGTGCGTACAGCGCGTCAGCCAAGCAGCGGATGCTGACCTTCTCCCTCTTCTCAGCCGTCGCAAAGCTGTCCTACGCCACTCTGATGGCCATCGCCGCAGCAGTGACCTTACTGGCATGTGCGCTTCCACTCGTCCTACTGCGCTTCGGCGTCCGACTGCGCAAGCAAGCCGACGGCAAGATTGCGCGCACGGAAGCGTCAGCCGCGCGCATCTCCACGTCGCACGGCGCTTGCACGCCTTCGGCATACACCGAGCAAGGACCCACGAGCGACCTGCTCTACCAGGCGCCGCCGTCGGCGTCGCGACTTCGGCAGCTCTTGCTGCCGCGCACACTGCGCCGCTCTTTGCGGCGCAGCGAGGTAGTGCGCAGCGCAGGCGGGCATAGCAACCACGCTGCTCGCGCAGCGTCCGCCTTGGTCGAGCAGGCAAGCGAGGCAAGGCGCCTCTCTCCCGAGCGTCCCTTGACGCCCGAGACGCGTCGCTCCGCATCGATGATGCGCACGCTTGGCCCTCAGGCTCAGCGACACCTCGTGCGCACGCCGGACGTGGCTCTGGCTCCTTGGGGGCGGCGTGCGAGACAGCACTCGCATGATCCGCACGAGGCGGAACGCCGACAGCTGCGCGATGCGGAGAACGAGCAGCACCGACGCAAACTCGAGGAGCTGCATCGACAGTACTACTAGGAGTGCAAGTTGCAATGCCACGGCCCGAAGCAGAAGCAATGAGAGGCAGAGCGTGCCCCGAGCGAGATCCGGATATCATAGATTGAGCACATGCTAAGGTCGGCAGGCAGCGCCGCCCGCTTTTCTTGCTCGTTGCTGGTGGGCTCTCGCACCCTACTGCGGGCCCGACACAAGCCTCGTGTTGTGCGCAGCGCGAGCGAGAAGCTCAGGCGTTGTCCTTCTCGCTCTGCTCGATGAACCAGTTCGTGATGTCGTCGAGCACGGCCATGCGCTTCTTGTGGTCCGCCTCAGACATGCCCTGCACGTTTTTCATCATGACTGTGGGCCGCGCGGGAAAGAGCGGGTCAGCAGTTGCAGCAAAGAAGGCGTGAAGTTGCGAGAGAGGGCGAGGGAGAGGGCACGCACTGTGCTCATAGCCGTCCCAGATCTTTATCCGCTTGTCCTGGCTCGGCAGTCGATCAAAGCTGCGGGCCGGAAGACAGAGCGTCAGTCGATCTCATCTCAGGCGCCAGAGCGCATCTGTGCTTCTCGACTCACAAGGCTTGCGTGCCGCGCCAGTCCGTCGCGCGGTCCGCGGCGCCGTGGTGGACAGTGAGGGGGCACGTGATGCGCGGTGCCAGCTCCTGCAGCTCCGCCAGGCCGGCGAGGATGGCCATGCCCGTCGAGATGCGCAGGTGGCCCTTGTACGTGTGCCTGTCGGCCTGGAACTCCTCCTCGACGCGAATGTCGTCCGAGACATTGCCCTTGACGCCCGCTGCAAAAGGCAGGCGGCCGGCAAAGAAGATGATGAAGCGTGCAATCTGCTCGACGAGCTTCGAAGGCCGTGCTGTTCACGCAATGCTCAGAGTCAGCGCTCGCGCCGGAGACAGAGCCTAGGCGGATGGAGCACGCGCGATGACACTCACAGTGCGGGCTGATAGCAATCATAGGCGCCGCAACAGCAACGCCGGCAAGACGAGGACGTTCGTCGGAGCCAGCATCCACTGCGCCAGCATGCAGCAGCTTGTCTCCCGTCTCTTGTTTCGGCTCGTCGCGTGCGGGCCCGCCCTTGGAAGGCGGCGAGATGGGCGGGTAGATGGCGGCGTAGTACAGTGCCGTGAATCCTCCCCTGATGGGTTCGCAGCGCCATCAGCTCTGCATCCCCCGCTGCGCAAGGCGGGCCATAAACAGACGACGACACTCACATGCTCTCGCCCTGCAGGAACACTTTGCGGCTGCCGCGGCCCTGCTCTCGGTCTCTGCGCGCCACATCGCACAGCACGGCGTGTGCGGCCTCGACGTTGAGACGCATGCTGGGCACGTAGGCGTGCAGGCCCGTCGAGCGGCCAAACGAGGGCAAGTCGATGGCAATGACGCGGAAGCCGCTCTGTGCCAGATGCAGCCCCGTGCCGCAGGCGCGCCCGCCGTAGTTGTTGATGCCGTGCAGCAGCATGATGTCGGCATCGTCTAGAGCCAGCACGAGCGATTGAGTGTCTGCGCAAGGCGAGGGCCACGGCGGCGCCACTCACGCCGCTGGATCTCCTTGCCCGCCCACTCCCACACCTGGTACTCGACCCAGTGGCTGCCCTCGCGGTCCCAGCTGCCGCCTCTGCGCATCGCGTCGGCCTTGAGGATGAGGCGATGCCGCTCGACGTGGACGTCGGGATTGTCGTGGATGAGCTGGCGCTCGCGCGGCGCAATGGGCAGGCTGGCGCGCCCGTACGTCGGGTCGCCGAAGCCGGGCGTGGTGAGGCGCAGATGGCACAGCAGCGGCTCGAGGAAGACCTGGTAGAACGTCACGACGCCGGCGTAGAGGTGCCAGAAGACGTGCGGTGCATCGCGCAGCGCGGGCGGCGGGCCGATGCCCGTGGGATGGTCGGCCATGGCGGAGGATGCAGCAGAGGAGCGGAGAGGTGAGAGGGAGAGAGGAGGAGAGGCGCGGCCCGGGGAAGCGGCTCCGGCGCGCACCTGTCGCACGCTCACACGAGCGGTGCCGTCATCGGGCAGGCAGCGGGAGTCGGGCGAGCATGCGTGGGAGCACGCTGCAGCAAGCCAATATTGGACCCGGCCAGCAGCAGGCCTCCTGGCGCGCCGCCTGGATCGTCTCGCAGTTCGGCACCCTCGCCGTCATCCCTCTGTTTGGCGTCTGTGCAATGAAGTTGTGAGTCAAAAGGAACGCCGCTCTTGTCTGCCGGCGCTGACGGCCACCCCAGCCTGCGCAGCGAGGGCATGCAGCTCGCGCATCTCAGCGCCTTTATCAAGGGCGAATACGTCAGCTCCGACGAACCCCTGCTGCGGGCGGCGAATCAGATGATGCACGAGTTCATCTGTCTGTCCTCCCCTTGTGCGCTGATCTGCGTCGCGCTGACCCCCACTCTCCCGTGCACTTCTCCATCACATCCAGTGCCTGTGCTCAAACTCGCCCACGAGAGGATCCCTAAGGTCTGGCTCTGCCTCGATCGCACCGTTTGCGTTTCCGTGCACGACTGCATCCGCTCCGTTGCTAATAGGCCGTACAGCTACGAGACGAGCGAAAAGACCACGGCCAACGAGCTGAAGTGCTCCGGCAACCGCGCGCAGAGTCTCTCCGCACCTCTCGGCATCTATACGGTAGCTGCAGTCACTGGCGCATTCCGCGCCATCCAGAGGCCCGATAACACTGTCAGCCTCGACATCCCGCCGAACGCACCGTGGGCCGCAGTGCCGGCAAAGGAGGCCGATGGAAAGAGACATGTGAGCACCGCAAGGAGCTCAGTACGCCGATCGCAGGCCCACGCACTGAACCCCCCCCCCCCCCTCTTCGGCGTCTAGTACCCCAGAATCTTCAGCTACCGCCTCATGCGGCCGCTGCCCGCAGGGGCGTTCGCTCTGCTGGCATTCGTGCAGGCCTCAACTCCGCACTGCATAGGGCCGCGCGACCTGCCTGTCATTCGCCAAAACATGCCCGACAGGCCGCTGTTCGGCACAGGTGCCGAAGTCATTGGCAACCCCACCCCTCCCAACACTTAACCCGTCTCGCTCCCGCCTTCCCTCGACACCCCGTGGCTCTGCTCGATTCGCGCCTCGCTCTTCCGTCCCGGCTCCTTCTCCGTCCCGCCCCGCGCCTCGCTCTTCCGTTCCGTGCTCCTTCTCCGTCCCGCGCTCCTTCTTTCTCCCCTGCCGAAAGCTGCTGGCAGCTGCGACCATCTTTACACTCTCCACCCGCACTTCGCTCTCACTCACTGAGCGTCATATCTTCCCGCCCTCCCTCTTCTCCTTGAATCTATTGCTTGATGCCTCCTTGTCACGTCGCGAGCCGCGATGCATGCGCTGCGATGCATGCACTTCAATGCATGCGCTGCGATGGATGCGCCGCGATGCATGCGCCGCAATGCATGCCGTCGGACAACCGCACAGCGGCCAACTCGCAGACCGGGCACTTTTTTTCATTAGCTCGCGCAAACAGACGGCAGCAGACACCGCACGGGCGGCGGAGAGCAAGATGCTGAGGAAGCAAGATGCTGTGAACAATTTGCGGCGGCGTTGTTTCCGCAGCTCACTCACAAGCTCGCACGAACTCAAGCGGCGCCAGCGCTGGCGCACGCCCTGCAGGTGCACTGTGCGCGAGTGCCCGTCATTTCGAAATAGAGCTCGCCCGAAAAGTGAAGCGCAAAGTCCGGCACGTCGCGCCACTTGCGAGAGCCGATCGTGACCCAAAAGTGACGCAGAGTTGGCGTCGAGTCGCTGCGCACGTACAGCGTGACGAAGTCGGGAAGTGCAAAGCGCGGGTCATCGCGCTCGTCTGCATTGCCGTGTCAGCAGCACGGCCGTGGCTGTG